TAATAAGAATTTGTGATTATAAAAATATTTATATTATGTATGTATTATTTTACTTTGTCAGGTCATGTACCTATGTATCAAATTCGAATATTTTGTGTTTGTACAGCGATCTTATTCAGCTGCTGCAGGCGATACAGCGACCACCCGCGATAGCGGCCGAGCGCCGACTGTGGTTTCATCGAAATTTTTGTACAAGAAATCAAAACAGACACTAAAAATAAAATAACCCTTATTTCAATACATTAGGATTCATCCGTATCAGCAAAATATGTCAAAAAATAAGCATCAGTTTTTATTTTTTTTATGACCATTTGTGACATTTTGATAAAAAGTAATCACCAGCATTTTTTATTGAATATGTCTGCCTACTTACAGTATTTTTAGATATCTTAATATATGTTGATAATAGAACAAAAAATGTACCGAAATATGAGCCGGTATCGTTAATTTTGTAGTAAATGGCTAGGGAAGATCCTTTTTACAATGTAAAAAACTATTATTTTCAACAAAAAAGTTACCACTATTTCAAGATAAAGAACCATTCTATACGTTGTAGTTATTAGTTATATTTGATTCGGTTTAGTTTTGTCACAAAATGTACCGAAAAACAGCATAATTTGGCCCGATTTGCAAACGCACCCTTAATTAAACGCGATAAAATCCGTAAAAGTAGTTTTATTCAATGTATAGTTGCTTATCACACCAAATTCATTAAAATTTTAAAGCATAAATTGTCACACACACACCAACTATGATCGAAGTATAATGACAAAATATCTCAATGCTCACCATTTCTTTACCGTTCTCTGATACTTTAGTACCACACATATTGTGACCTGCTGCCCTGGAAAAAGTGGCGACCGTTTGTTTCCCATATTCTTCGCGCACGGCGACTATTCGTTAGTTTGCTTATCTTCAAAGCACTTAAAGTTGACTGTCGCTTTGTATACCCATGTTTCATTAGCTGTTAGTATATCGTAAACGATTTTTTCTCGTCGAATGTCGATATCAGAAATTGATACTTATTTACCTGTAAGTATTTCTGATTACACAACAACTGGACAGAAAGTTGGTCGTGAATGATGGTTTGCATTGCTGCTGATTCAATACCCAGTTCTACTCATTTAATTCGTCGCTTCTCTCGAATTAGTATTTCGAATGCTATTCATATTTTTGAGTGACTTTTTTTATAGTATAAGCTAATATAGGTGACCAGCGAGCACACTCCCCACCTGATACGAGTAGTAAGTGGATGCTGTGGCCCATAGACATCTTAATCTATCCTCGTTTAAAAATCAAAATGCAGATGCGTATCCAGTAAAAATGGTTTCCGGTTTTCTACACTCACTATACGAAATACAGCAGCATTGAGTTGCTATTTATTCTTTGAGAGCGTGGCCCTTTTCCGGTCGAGCCGACCCAGTCGTGCTACAACTATGATATAGCTGAAGAATGCCGACTTTTTGGCTTTAGCCTCTTTTAAATTCAGCAAACCTATTAAAATTGTCGCTCGTAAACAAGCAGACTCCCCAAAATTAGTAGGATTAGGAGAAAGGATAGAAAAAAATCATAGCGCAAAAATCACATCATTCAGTCACATCAACTCGGACGGAATTCTACTTCTGCAAGTGATTATTTCTTAACAGGTCCATGAATTTATGTATGTAAACTGTCTGTACCATACAGGAAAAATCCTAGTGTAATTTTAAATTTTTATCAGGAAGATGCTACTGCCGATCTCCTGTTTTATTTCTTCCTGTCGCTACCCACGGGATTATATGGGGTAGAAGATTCAATTACGCCACCAGTACAGGGCACTTGTGAAACTTGCTAGTGCCAAATAAATGAGTAAATAATATTAAAGTTCTTTTAGCATGTTCTTCGTACCATTATACGCTTGTTTTTGTTGAATATGGGAAAATTAATCAAAATGAAATAAAGTTAATTATATTTTCAAAAATAGTGATAAATAATTTACTAGAAGCAAGCATTAACCTTGTGATAAATGAGCATATTTTAAAATTAAAAATTTTGTACAGCCGACTTCAATATAAATTATTAAGAATAACTCAAAAACTACACGTCAGACCTCAATCAAATTTATATGGGACCACACGAGAAGTATCAGCTTTCAAATAAAAAAAGAATCACAGTAAAAAGTTATGAGGTAACATACATAAAAAAAACATATAGTCGAATTGAGTACCGTCTCCTTTTTGGAAGTCGGCAGAAAAGCTGCTAATTTTTGCACATCACTATATCGGCATGGCATTTTACTTATCTATATTAGTGTTATATTGTTAATTCGATGTTTATTGTATTTTGTCATTTATCGTGTATGTATTTGTTAAAATAATTTTAATATACACTTTTGTAGAGCGTTTACTTTATAATGGTTTTCCACAAAATGAAAATATTTGGTCGGCAGCAAATATTGGTATTTTTTATTTGTTTTCAGTGAATCGTCTCGCGTAACCTTAAGAGTTCTTTTTTTTAATTTATTTATGGTATCTACGTAGGAATAACAAAATAGAATAATTTAAATCTGAAGGTACTCCGGTTAACTGTAACATCGAGACATCAAACACATTACACCTCAGTGCTGCAAAGCACTCCAAAGTCCAAACGATGGGAGTTAAAAACAAGTTGAACACGATAAAATCCGTGAAAGTAGTTTTATTCAAATTTATTTTGGTTTGTAGTAGCTAATAGAAAAATCTAGCGGGGAATGATCATAGAGAGGGAAAATTCTTTCTGGAGTCAGGAAGTTGGCGGTATTTCACTCACGTGGTTCAGAAACACGTAAATCACTTGGTATCTGTTAGTCCTGCACCTGATTTCTCTCCGGGCGTATCGGACTGCCGTCCCATTGGATTGTGAGACTAAGGAAATAGAGAGTACACCTTTGCGTACACACTCGTGCACTATAATCCTTTCATAAGCAGAGCTTAGCTCCCGATACCGAAATTTGACCTGAAGGACATTATGTCGTAATTTACATATTTTTATGGAACAAAAAATCTCAAGTACTCTCAATCCTAACTTACACTTCGATACCAAACTCACCTGCACCGATGGACGAGCCTCTGGTGATTAACTGATAACGGAGAATCCATCGAAAATCGCAGGGGACAAGTGACGGTGAACAGCAATACCAGTGCGATGATCTGCGCTCCCAATCGCATTTCCTGTATGCTGAGTATATCTGGGTAAATCTTTGAAGAATACTGCATACGATGGTGGAAAGAACTAGTTTAAGGTGTTGACTTTAAAAGGCTGTTAATGTAATGTGAAACTTTAACAGAATTTTGCAAGACATTTTTTATAGAAGTAAAAGTGACAAACAAGCACACACTTCACCTGATGCTAAGTGAATGCTGTGGCCTAGACACCTACATCTATTCTTGACTAAGAATCAAAATCCAGATGCGTTATCATCCCTGAAGACTAAGGTGGAATGTCTCATTATCACTATAAAGGGTATCCGGTTTTCGTCACTCGAAACAGAAACAGAAACGGAAACTTTTTTATTCAATATAAATTATAAATAATACTTATTGAAAGTCACTGTTTTGTTTAATTACCACTGGTTCGAAAAAAAACCTCTGTCCTGGGAAGAACCAGCAAGAAACCCAGCGGGACTTTTTTTTAAATAACAGCTTACAATCATGTATGTTACACAAATTAACAATACAACAAATTAGAAATAGCTTGGTAGCGATCACCTTATTTCCAGGGGTTATTATCATCCATAAATTCTTTAATATTATAATAACCCTTTTTATACTAACTTAGTTTAATAAAGTTTCAGAACTTCGAGCAGGTCAAATTTTGTATATTTTCTGGAATTTTGTTGTAAAAGCGAATATATCGCCATGAATGAATTACTGACTCGATGTAGTCGAGTAACTGGAGTAACTAACTAGCTTGTGTCTGTTCCTAGTATTTACAGAATGAATATCACTTATTTTTGTATAACTACTTTTATTTTTGTTTCGTAGATTACATTTTCATAAATGTAATGAGAGGCCAAAGTTATTATATTAATTTCCTTAAATTTTTGTCGCAGCGACTCTTTAGGCTTTAAATCATAAATTGCTCTTATGGCCCTCTTCTGTAAAACAAATATAATTTCAGTGTCAGCTGCGTGTTCCCATAGTAAAATACCATACGACATTATGCTATGGAAATAGCTAAAGTAAACAAGTCTAGCTGTTTCCACACTGGTAAGACTTCTAATCTTTTTTACAGCATATGCTGCAGAACTAAATCTACTTGCTAGTTTTGATATATGGGAGCTCCATTGAAGCTTCGCGTCTAGTGTGATTGCTAGAAAAATGGTGGTATCTACAAGACTCAGTTTATCCCCATTTGAAATTACATTAGTATTTAATTGTTTGACATTTTGGAGTCATGAATTTCATACATTTCGTTTTAGTGCCATTTAAATGCAAGTTATTAACATTGAACCAATTTACTAATTTAGATATAGCATTATTTACTTCGGCATACAAAATACAACAGCATTATTTATTTTTGTAGGATAGGGTGACAAACGAGCACACAGTCCACCTGATGGTAAGTGGTTACTGTGACCCATAGACATCTACATCTATCCTCAATAAAGACTCAAAATGTAGATGCGTTCTCACCCGTGAGGACTAAGATGGAATGCCTCTTGACCAGTAAAAAGGGTCTCCGGTTCTCTACACTCACCATACGAAACACAACAGCGTTAAGCTGCTATTTTACGCTGATATTCTGTGAGAGCGTGGTTCTTCCCCGGTCGAGCCGACCCATTCGTGCTACAACCATACCACTAATATAGCTGCAGCATGGCTCTACCACGTGGAAAATGTTGTTGATTTACAACATTATGTTCCAATTTCAAGTTGGTATTCTGTAGGAGTGTCCTTCCCGACCCATTTGTGCTACAGCCATAATATATTATAGCGTGATGGTAGTCATTTAAAATTAGAGTTTATTTCATTCCATTTCAGAAAAAGTCAACATCTCGGAGGAATCTGGCGCTGAGGCCAAAGCAAGAATATACTATGACGCGTGCATTGATACTAATGAGACCATAGAGAAGCTGGGTGAAAAACCTCTGATTGGCATCATCAAGAAGCTGGGCGGATGGCATATACTCCCTAATACCCTGGTCAAACAGCAAAAGTGGGATATGCAAAGACTGATTCAGGATGTGCAGAATATGTAAGTATTTTTACAGATAATTTTAAAAACACATTTAGTAAAAAGCTGTTATTTTGACATTACAAACAGATACTTCAATTTTATTTGTTTGTATAGATTTCATAATCTTTGGGGAATAACCATCTAGTAGCTGCTATATCACATTCCCAACTATACCTATTGTTATATAGCCACCTGTCATTTTTAATTTAACTAGGGCCAAAATGTATTGAATAAATACGTAACAGAGATGTATACCACTTATGCCTCGGTCACACACATCGCGATAGAATTGATAAAACTTCGCCTTCGGCCTACCGCAAAGATGCCTGGCCATTGCGCGTTGTAAATTTTATCGCGCTAAATACAAAACGGGTGTCACTGTCGCTGTGTATTATATAAACTTCGCCTTCGGCCTTCCGCAAAGATGCCTGGCCATTGCGCGTTGTAAATTTTATCGCGCTAAATACAAAACGGGTGTCACTGTCGCTGTGTATTATATGGCAGCGAATAATTATTTTTTAGTGTAGTGAGACGCTTCGTGTAACTTCGGGGTACTTCGCGAAGTCCTTTGACTCTGGTGCAAAAAACCGACAGCGATCGGAAGTAGCACGAGGGTGTGGCCACGTTCTTAGGACTGCGATGGACTTCGACGAGCACTTCGTCGAAGTTACTTGGCGAGTAGTGTAGAGGAAGCATAAGAGTTTTAGCGCGATGGACTTCGCGTGTGCGGTCACACTTCATTCTGCCCACACACATCGTGTGCGTAACGGATGTGTCAAAGTAAATTAGGGTTTGCGACATATTTCTGACATGGATTGGTGTAATGTAAAACTTTTGGAATATATAAGTAATTACGAGTCCGAGCCGATATTATTTATATAGTTTTCTTATTTTTTAAAAACAGACACAATAATAAAAAATAATTATTCGTTGAATATTATATGGCAGCGAATAATTATTTTTTATTATATATTTTATTACAGTGACGCCCGTTTTGTGTTTAGCGCGATAAAATTTACAACGCGCAGTGGCCAGCCATCTTCGCAGTAAGGCGAAGGCGAAGTTTTATCACGACAATTCTATTGCGATGTGTGTGACCGAGGCATAAGTGGTATACATCTCTGTTACGTATTTATTCAATACATTTTGGCCCTAGTTAAATTAAACATGACAGGAGGCTATATAACAATAGGTATAGTTGGTAAGTAGTAAGTATAGTTGTGATATAGCAGCTACTAGATGGTTATTCCACAAAGATTATGAAATCTATACTAACAAAGAAAATTGAAGTGTCTGTTTGTAATGTCAAAATAACAGCTTTTTACTAAATGCACATGAAAGTATATACGGTACCTGCTTTATGAGCAATTTTAAAAAAAAATCCGTCTGTCTGTCTGTTTGTTCCGACTAATCTCCGACATGGTTGGACCGATTTCGACGGGACTTTCACTGGCAGATAGCTGATATTATAGGGATTAGCTTAGGGTACTTTTATTTTAGAAAAAGTCATCTTCATCATTACAGCCCTTCACAAGTCCACTGCTGAACATAGGCCTCCGCCAAGGAATGCCACAAAGCACGGTCTAAGTCACCTGCATCCATCGACTTTCTGCAAGTCTTACCAGGTCGTCACTCCATCTATTGGGGGGGGGGGGGGGTCGCCATACACTTCACGTACCTTCACGTATGAGGCTGCCAAAAAACCCATGAAATGTAATCGTAATAAGTTCCACGCGGACGAAGTAAGTATTATATGAACAGAATTGTACGCGCGTTGAGAATCGTAGGTTCAAATCAAAGCAAAGTCAGTAATGGGACGTTATGCAAATTGGTCTGGCTGACGTTAGTACTATTATTTATTCTGTGATATAGGCAATGAGCAAGGAAAAATTAGTAATGAGATTGTTTTGTCTTTGTTACATATAAAAAATAAGTGTACCTACACTATACACGTCAAAGTGCTAGCTTGTGTTATTTTTTTATTAAAACTTCTTTTTTTATATTTTTTTAACAATCATTCTCATAGATACATTAATGAGATTAGAAACGTATAAACCAAACTACCGATATTCCTGAAAATAGAAGATTGTTAAAAATGTTTAAAAAAATAAAAACACGCCACTGAAGCATTATTTTGTGTTATACATAGGCATACGGATTAGTAAGCTCAAGTGGCAATGGGCTGGCCATATAGTTCTAGAGTGGTAGTCTCGTACCGGCAAGCGAAGTGTAGACGTCCCCCCACTAGATGGAGTGACGACCTGGTACGCCACGTAGGAAGTCAATGGATGCTGGTCGATCGGGACCGTGCTTTGTGGCGCTCCCTGGGGGAAGCCTATGTCCAGCAGTGGAATTGTGAAGGACTGTAATGATGATGATGATGATGAATTATGATAGGTATACGAGAAATTTTTGCTCTTTTCAAACTGTGGGAACACCTTTGTGACAATTATTTTCACCTCAGTTCCAACTAGCGACATCTGGTGAGCGTAAGAAAATTACATCCCTGTTATTGTGTTTCTTTCTTATTGCTTCTAGATAAGCTATATTATTCGTAAAATTAAAAACCTATTACATATAGCTGTTTTATTTTTCAGGTATAATCTAGGTGGACTTTTCAATTGGGCGGTAACGGAAGATGACAGAAATTCGTCGAAACACGTCATTGTTGTAAGTTACTATCACTAACAATATTCCTTTACACTACTTACAGTTACCTACAGTAACGCTGATGGTCGCATGGACTGTCAGTCCATGAAAGTGCCATGGTTGGCAAAGGCACTTTTTATAGTGACAATCGAACCTACAGCCAACCCGATGGTAAGTAGCTATTGCAGTCTAAAAGCACCTGCAAACAACTTTAAACAAAAAAGACTGCAGATGCATTATCACCTTAGTAGATCAACACGAAATGCATTAGTAGATGGACTCCTACCACCTAGAAACTACTATCTACATTGTTGTCGGCAGGGATCGAAATTTGTTAGCTGTGCACTATAAGATTAACTCTTTTACTGTAATGCAACGTATAGCTATGGTTGGATTTGAGATTCGAAATTCAAGTCAATATTTTATTAAAAACATGTTGTTCCTTTTTCAAAATCTGCAATATATATTAATTACGTAGGTCACTCAATAAGTTTTGAGATATACAAAAAGTATTCTAGATACTACTCGTATTAATTTTAAATCTTTTCAAAATATTCTCCATCATGCTCCATACAAAGTTCCATTCACCTAAACCAACTCTGAAAACACTTTTGCCACTCTTGATCTGACAGATCGGAAATCGCTTCTTCGTAGGCAGCCACGGCTTCTTCGGTGCTTGAAAAAAACTTGAATTTTATTTTTTCTTTGACTCTTGGGAACAAAAAGAAATCACAAGGAGCTAAGTCAGGGCTGTAGGTTGCAGTAAGTGCAGGGTGACTTAGAGTTTCAACACCAGATTCCTCAATAAATGCTTTTGTTCTAAGGGAGGTATGTGAAGAGGCGTTATCGTGATGCAGCATGATTCCCCGAAGCCCGGTCTTTGGTCTTCTCTCCCACACAACTTGAAAAGCTTTGGGTAATGCAACCACTACCATTCAGAGTTGACTGACCTATAATTTTCCTGCATTGACGTCTACAAATGTCCACTCCGCGAAAAAAACTAGCCACCATTTTTTTTGCAGACGTGCGAGGTATTTGCAGTTTTGTTGGTAACTGTCCTTCTGAGTAGACCCATACCGATGATTGCCTTTTATTTTCCGCATCATATTGATAGATCCATGTCAAGTCACCAGTAACGATTTCTGAAACATGCCTGTTTTCAAAACGTAGACGCACCAATCCATACGAGTCTAGTTTTCGCTTTCGGAGAACAAACGAGGGATCCATCGACAACAAAGCTTCCTCATTCCAAGATGTTGATGTAGGATGGTATGAATGCTCCCCGAACCCGGTTCTATGGTCAACTTTAAGATTAATCTTACCCCTTTTGAATTCAGCAACCACCAAAAAATTGTTGCGCGTGATGCAGCTAGGTCCCCCTAATGCTGATTGTAACCGTTGTAAACTTAATTGTTCGGTTAAACCAAATTTAAAATCATAATATATCATAGCGCGCAAATGTTCACGGTTGAGATCCATCGTTTTAAATGAAAAGCGCGGGAAGCGTTGCAGGAAAATTAATAGAACTTTGTTTTTTTTTTAATATTGAGCCATTGGCTTATGGAGTTTGTTACGGCCCATAGCTGCCCCTGCAAAGGTCGCCTTGGCTAGGGCCCATAGTAGCCGCTTCGACGGGCAGCCGTGGGTACGGGCCCCAATGGCCTTATGGAAAATGACCTATCATACTACAAAATAAGGAGAAGGCTAGGAAGATAAATGGTACGTACCTGCATCCGAATCTAAGACCGCCCCAAGGCTCGGTCAGGCCGTAGGTAGAGTATATGCATGTAAAGTGGTGTTTAGTGGTGTGTATATGAGGGTGACCTAGCCCAGCTGAGGTGACCTGGCAGCGCGACGGTTTCCCTGCTGCTCCACAATGCTGCATCACTTCAGCAGGCGTCCACCATGGACAGTTTCTTTCTTCATGGTCACTATTTCAGTCTATTAACTATATTGTACATTTAACTAACTTAAACTCGCCTAATTCCAAATTCATCGGAGAATCGAACACGTGATACCCGACACAGTAACGGACAGTAGTTCAAAGTTCAACATTCAATGTCCCGGATTCATTTATCACCAAATTACAAATAGGGAACTAACGCGATCTCTTCATGAGTCACACGGTTCAGCGTTAAACACAACTAAGTTCATTCGTTCGATACTAAACACCACGCCGCAATAAAAATTCAAAATTACCCCAGCTGACACGCAAACTAGCTACAGAGTCAACACACAAAAAGTACAATTAAACAATGATTTCCAGAACAATCAACCGGGAGACGCCCTCGAAAAAAGGAATGCGAGGTTCGAATTCTAGACCGTATATCTACTCGGCGCGCGCGTGCGAAATTCCACATCACCCGAGCAAGTTAAATATCGCAAATGCACTTCTACACGCAATCACTATATAATTTGCACAATTGCTTTCAAAGAAGTTACTTTAATCAGTCAAACACAACACAAGCCTCCTGTCAAGAACTCAAAACCCAGACAAACCAATTCGAGGCGGTCTTCACAAAACCCCAATTACGTAGCGAAGTAACACGCACTAAATCTAGCAATCTAGACCATACACCGGTCGCGCGAAACTTCTGCAGCGATAACCGAGATACAGATTTACCGTACCGCTGCCAGCGAGCTACTACTCGACTCGACCCAGCTGCCGGTAGCAACCAACTCCCGCCAACCGTCTAACCGGTTATGAATGCGCCGTATAGAGCGAGCGCCCTCTGGCGTCAAATCTTGAAACCCGCGTTTGGGCGCGAACAGAGTTCTATTTTTAAATAATTTTGTTTCTTAGAAACATATAACACGGGTGCGTTCCATTTTTAAATTTCGAGCATCTCAAAACTTATTGATTGACCTACGTAATCACTAAAGAAATTCGTACTATTTTTTTTACTGATCTAAAACGGCTCAAAAAAATATAAATGAATAATTGTAATGAACAAATTTTCCATGTGTTTCAGTTGGACCAAGGCGGTCTGAACCTACCAACACGTGACAACTACTTAAACAAAACAGCCCATAAGAAAGTTCTGGACGCTTACCTAGACTACATGTCGAGAATCTGTGTATTGCTTGGCGCGAACAAATCGGAAGCGAGAGCCCAAATGAGCAAGGTCATCCAGTTCGAAACGGAGTTGGCCAATATCACAACCCCGTCAGAAGACAGGAGGGATGAAGAGGGTTTGTACAACCCCTACACGCTGAAGCAATGGCAGAAGGAGGCGCCATTTTTGAACTGGTCCTCGTTCTTCAATGACGCGTTCAAATTGGTTAATAGAACTGTAAGTATTTTTTATTTTTTAAGTCAAGAATATTTTTATTCGACATTACCATTCCTTATGACGAGAACCTTGTGAAAGCCGAAACAGATAAGCAGACAAAGTATCTGGACCTGACTCACGATGTGACCGACATGTGGGGTGGTCTGCTGACTAAAATTATTCCTGTGGCCGTTTCTGCGAACGTTCTGACTAAAATTATTCCTGTGGTCGTTTCTGCGAACGTTTTATTTTTGGTCGTTATTAGATTTTGACGGCTCCGTGGCTCAGTGGCTTAGCAATGAGTTGTTGCTTTGGGGGCCGCGGGTTCGAATCCCGCACGCTACAAGTATTTTTATGGCCTACATATAATTTTTCCTGGTTTGGATATTTGTCCTCGTGCAATCAATGTTTGTAAACTGCCTCCACGATACAGGAAAAAATCCTAGTGTGGGGTAACGTTTTGTAAAAAAAAAAGAAGACGCTGCACCTCCTGTTTTTTTTTCGTCACTCGTCTCTTACGACATCCAAGAGACCATAATGAGGGCTGTGTTTTCTTATCAAATCATAAGTTCATCCACTGCAGAACAGAGCCGTCTCCCAAAAACTGCTAAAATTCGAGTCTAGAGTCAGTTGCGCTCCATCTATTTTAGGGGTTTCATACAAAGCACCCCGAGAACACACACTGTGTGTGTATCACACAATATTAGATCTCCTTGATAAAACTACCTTATTGACTTAAAACTTTAAATTATTTTAAATTATTTTTGTTTTACTCGTAATGGACTCTATCCTGATAACCTTCTTAACCTGGACAACCTATAATTATTAATTATTAATTTGGGCTTAATCTTCGTTTTTTTATAAAACTGTAGTGACAAACAAATTTAAGCCCACCTGATGATGCTTGCAGCCAAGTTCAAACAAAGAACTTATTCATGAGGACTAAGATGGCATTTGGAGGCCTACAATTATACTAACTATAACCTTCATACCGGCACACAGCACATAGCAGTGTACGAACTGCTATTTTGCGGTAGAAATGTTAAGAGAGTCTATCCAGTCGGATTACTAGGCAAAAAAGGAGTACCTACCACACTACGTAGATTAAGATCACCGTATTTGAAAACATATATTTTTTTCATCTTACAGATATCAGACAATGAGAGGATAGTCGTGTACGCGCCCGAATATTTCCGGAATCTGACGCGAGTTTTAAGAAAGTATAGCAAAACTGAAGAAGATCAAAAGTGAGTCATGGAAACATTATGGTTAATATAAAATTTCGTGTTGGCAGACATGTCGTCAAAATGATTTTTCTTTTAGATCGAAGTTTTTTTTTTATAGGATAAGGGTGACAAACGAGGACACAGTCCACCTGATGGTAAGTGGTTGCTGCGGCCCATAGACATCTACATCTATTCTTTATTACAAATCAAAATGTAGATGCGTTGTCACCCGTGAGGACTAAGATGGAATGCCTCATTTCCAGTAAAAAGGGCCTCCAGCCACCTGCACTCACCAAGCGAAACGCAGAGGTAAACCGCTACTTCACGCTGGTTTTCTGTGAGGTCGTGGTACCACCCCGGTTCGAGCCGGCCCATCCGTGCGACAGCAAAAGCTGCCGCGTGGCTCTACCACTGTACAAAGTCTCTACGGTGACTAGGCAACTGTGCGGGACTGGATTATAGTGCACGAGTGTGTGCGGAAGCACAGGCGCATTCTCTCCTTCACTCTGCATTCCACCACTAGTTCGATGGAACGGGCGTAGGATAGACGGTTCTATGTGCTTTTCAAGGCACGGTAGTGAAACAAGCAACTCCCTAACTTCGGGCTGCCACTGAGTTTCTTGAGAGAAAAGCCACATAACTGATTTTGAAGCGATCCAAGATTCGAACCCGGGATCACTTAATTAGCAGTCGCGACCACTAGACAAATTTGGCAGTCAAAGTTTCTCTCTGATATTGTTTGTCTCACGATATTATCGTCATGCGTCGAACACGAAGGAAAATTTGATTGGGTGCTGAACTGGATTAAATTTAATTGTTTAATTTACGTAATTATCGTTTTTTAAGAAAGTATTACTATTTAAATGCATTTTAAATAATAATAAGGATATTTTTCGTATATTGCAATTTTTTCATTTAGACAATAAATAATTCATATTGAAAGACATTATTTTTATTTTTACTACTGAGTCCGAAAAAACCTCGGTCCTAAGAAGAACCAGCAAGAAACTCAACAGGACTTTTTTCACAGTAAAGTTACCCACACAATATTATAAAATAGGTTGCATTTTTTTTTTACAAAACTCATTTAAGAAATAGCTATCACCTTATTCCCAGTGGTTATTATCAATCACATAATCATTTAATAGTTTAATTTTGAAATTGTAGCTGTATACCATTGTCTTTTATAAACCAGTTTTGGTATGTAACACCCACCCATCTCTATTACAGAACTTTGAACAGCTATATGATGTGGCAAGTATCTCGATCTCTCTCGACCTACCTGTCCAAGTCTTTCCGTGACGCTACCAAGATTTTGCGGAAGGCCTTATTCGGTTCCGAGGGCACTGAGGAGTCTTGGAGATACTGCGTCACGGATACCAACAACGCTATCGGTAAGTTACTACTCAACATTGTTGCACCCCATATCCTAGAGCCACTAGGTAGACTGATGACCTGGTAAAACAATAAAGAAGTCGATAGTTGCAGGTGTTTCAAGACCGTATTTTGTGGCATTCCTTCGGGGAGGCCAATGTATAGCAGTGGACTTGTAATAATATTGATATTCTCTGCGTTTTTAGGTGACCAGCGAGTTATAAATGCACCCTCGCGTCGTCTCGTATGTCTCTTAGTATTGCACGGTGCTACCGTAATATCAGAGATTTTGTTTTAAATATACGTAAACAAAATATAACGTACCGACTTGTAATTCCTTAGGCAACCTCTTCCAGACTACATTATAGGGATTAAAGGATAGAAATAAGTAGTTGTAAGAAATTAATGAGGAAGTAATTTTCATTTTTAAACCTCCCAATTTAGATGTGCTGTTTATTTATTTAAACTTTATTGGTTTTTTTTATAGGAGAGGGGGCAAACGAGCATGCGGCTCACCTGATGGTAAGTGACTACCGCCGCCTATGAACAACTGCAACACCAGGAGAAACAGGGGAATTGCAGATGCGTTGCCGGCCTTTTAAAAAGGAATAGGCTCTTTTCTTGAAGGTCCCTAAGTCGTATCTGTCCGAAAAAATCGCCGGTGGTAAACTATTCCACAAGGAAGTTGTGCGAGGAAGAAAACATCTTCTAAATCTCAAAGTGGTGGACCGCCAATCATCCAGATGGTGTGGATGGTATCGGAAGTTCTGCCGCGATGTGCGTTCGTGAAATTTGGCGGCTGGGATTAATCCGAACAATTCCTCAGAGCACTCCTCGTGGTAAATGCGAAAGAAAATGCAAAGAGATGCAACATCTCTTCGCAGTGCCAATGAATCGAGCCGATCGGAAAGGACTCGGTCGTCGACGATTCGAGCTGCTCTGCGCTGGATGCGGTCAAGTGGAAGGAGCTGGCACTGGGGAGCCCCAGCCCAGAGATGGGAACAGTATTCCATGTGAGGCCGAACCTGCGCCTTGTAAAGTTGCAGGCGTTGTGCCACCATGAAATACTGTCCCGCTTTGCTGAGCACGCCAAGCTTTTTAGAGGCCAATTTGGCCTTCTCTTCCAAGTGACCACGAAACTGCACGTCACTAGATATGTCGACGCCGAGGATTCCGATACTGGCTGAAGCAACAAGGGAAGTGCCTTGAAACTGAGGAGATATGACAAAGGGGTTCTTTTTAGCGGTAAACGCGCAAACTTATGTCTTCTGAGGATTAAACTGGACTAGATTTAGTCGCCCCCAGTCCGAGACTTTGTCCAGCAAAGACTCGACTTCAGACACAAGTTTGTTCCGGTACTCGGCGACGTTTTCCCAAGAAATATTGGCACGGCCGGTGTATAGAGCATCACCAGTGCTGTCATCCGCATAGCAATGAATGCTACCGGTTTGCAACATGTCATTGATATGCAGAAGAAACAGCGTTAGTGATAGCACGCAGCCTTGTGGAACACCAGCGTTAATAGGCTTGTAGTCGGAGCATGAATCATCTACAATGACCTTGATGCTCCGATCTGCAAGAAATCTGGTGATCCAATTGCGCAATTTCTCGGGAAGCCCATAGGAAGGGAGCTTCGAAAGAAGCGCTTTGTGCTAGACCCGATCGAAGGCCTTCGCTATGTCCAAACTAACGGCCAATGCCTCCCCCTTAGACTCAATCGCCTGTGCCCATCTATGTGTTAGGTAAACAAGAAGATCACCAGCTGAGTGACCCCGACGGAAACCGGACTGGCAGTCACTAATCAGCTAGTGATCCTCAAGGTACCGCATGAGCTGGCAGTTAATAATGGACTCCATTATTTTCGAGAACAAGGAGGTCATGGCGATAGGCCTGTAGTTGGATGGGTCTGAGCGGTTGCCTTTTTTAGGGATCGGGTGGACAAAAGCTGTCTTTCATGATTTCGGGACTACGCCTAGGGAGTAGGAGTACCGGAAAAGACGCGTTAGAACGGTGCCAACTCCGAAGCACACGTCCTCAGCACAATTGGGGGGATTCCGTCAGGCCCACTCGACTTCTGGATGTCCAGGGAGAGGAGTGCTATTATTATTATTGTAGTATGATTACAAAGAGTTTTCATGCCATTAGTTATTCTCCCCCGTCAACCCTGGGCGTAGTAAGATAGTGTAAAGCATTATATTATGTAAATATCATTTGATATAAATAATATACTTCCATTCATCCATTCAGTACAGCCTATAAAAGTCCACTTCTGAACATGGCCGCTCCTACAGATTACCTGACAAGGGGGGATTTTGCCATTGTTGACACGCTTGGCGAGCGGGCTGTCAACTGCAGTTTTTTTTATTATTTTGAGTTGTTATCAGGAAGATGCTGCTGCGTATCACCTGTTTCAATTTCCCTCTGTCGCCTCTTACAACACCCACGGGACGATATGGGGCAGTGGATATTCTTACACCGCCACTGCACGGTACAATTATATATTTTATACGTGGTATATTAATAGTATAGTTGTAGCATGAATGGGTCGGCTCGACCGGGGAAGGACCACGCACTCACAGAATAGCAGCGTAAAATATCAGCTTAATACTGATGTGTTTCGTATGGTGAGTGTAGTGAACCGGAGACCTATTTTACTGCAAAAGAGGCATTCTACCTTAGTCCTCACGGCTGACAACGCATCTGCATTTTAATTCGCAAACGGAGATAAATGTAGATGTCTATGGGCTACAGCAACCACTTACTATCAGGTGGACTGTGTGTTACTTCATTTATTCAGAGTAGTAATTTAGTGGTACAAACTAGTTAAAATAATACCTAATAACAGTACTCACTCTAACTGTTAACAGGGTTCGCAGTGGGCGCTATGTTCGTTCGCGAGGTATTTCACGGCGAAGCTAAAACCCAAGGAGAAATCATGATAGACCATATACGAACAGCTTTTAAACAGAACCTCAAGAATTTAGATTGGATGGACGCGGAAACTATGGAGGCAGCGGAAACTAAAGCTGATGCCATCACAGACATGATAGGTAAGGATTTTTTAAATATTTTTACTATATAAAATATTTCTCTTTTATTTTGTATGGGTTGGTGTGTATACGTTGTTGAAGAAATATTTTTCCTTAATATTAATTTATTCTTTAATATTCTATTTTTTTTTTAAACGTTACCCCCACACTAGGATTTTCTCCTGTGTCGTGGAGGCAGTTTACAAACATAAATTGCACAAGGACAAACATCCAGACCCGGAACAATTATTTGTAGGCCATACAAATACTTGTTCCGTGCGGGATTCGAACCCGCGGCCCCCAGAGCAACAACTGATTGCTAAGCCACTGCGCCACGGAGCCGTCAAATTCTATTGAATAAAACTAATTTTTATGAATTTTGTCGCGTTTAATTAACTTATTTTACAGTCCCGACGTTTCGGTTGCTTTCCAGCAACCATGGTCACGGGGGACTGAGGTGACTGACGTCCCGATGTCAGAGTTAACTCGGAGTACCTTCAGCTTTTTAATTATTAATTTTGGTCTGATCTACGCAAAATGAACTTACTGTGTCTTGAAGTCTTGCAGTGGTATGCTTGGGTTTAGTTTTAATTTTATGAATTACAGGATCCCAAGCAGGTGGTTGTAGCCAGCCTCCCTCTCTAGTGACATTAGGATGTTTTTTAATTTCAATAGCCTCACGTATCATCCTTGGCAGGAATCAATGTTCTTTCGCGAGAATTTGTGGTTTATCAAATCTAATGTAATGGTAGGGTCCGTCAAGGATATGATCACAAACTGCAGACTTCCCGGAACGTTGGTGCTTCACGTCAGCTATGTGTTCTTTTACGCGGGACATACCGAAATGTCGAGAATATAAAATAAGTTAATTAAACGCGATAAAATCCGTAAAAATTAGTTTTATTCAATGTGTAGTGTTCGCGTAAATATAAGAAACCATTATTCTATTCTATTCATTATATCATCCGTGGATGTCGTAAAGGGCGATTGAAAAATCACAAAATGACCCCATGGTCCTCAATGGCGAAATACCATCTCGCTTTCGATAGTCGTATTATTCCTTGGACGGCAACAGACGGCAACGGTAAAGGTGCAAGATTTCTGGTGCTGCAAACGCCAGTCCACCTGCCAAGCGTGACGACTAGAGTATGTCGACAACGGCAACGGGAGAGTGCCACGTCAACCAGTGAATTTTTCGGTTCCTTCGCTCCTGTGAATTGAATTAAACTTTAACGAACCTATTTCTCCCTCCAATCATATTTGATTGCAATAGACACCTTCAGCCAACTCTAAACAAATGCCACATATTATGTGTTGTCACTCTATTACCCTACAAAGCGGAGCACAGCAGTGAGTTTACTGCTGGTTGGTAACAGAACTATAAAGGTAGTTACAGTCCATATGGATTACTAGGAACAAGAATACAATCACCCATCACATGTCTCCAAACAAAGACCTCTATATCTTTGGCGTTACTTCCGGTCGATAGTGTTCGATTTTATGTTTGAATATACTCGTAAACTCGTATACATAATCGGATTAAGATTGTAAATAATGCCACCTAACGGTGACTGCAAGACAATTCCAGCGTTTCTTTTATAACACCTACGTGACAAATGGCGATGGATTATCTTACAACGCCATTACACACACTGCTTTTAACATTTTTTTATATATATATATATATATATATATATATATATATATATATATATTTTAATTATTATTATTATACTTTTAGCATTTCCATTTTCTTTTCAGGTTTCCCCGATTACATTCTAAATAAGGAACAATTAGACAAACAGTACGCCGAATTGGAGGTGAAGCCAAATGAATACTTTGAAAATAACATCGCTTTCAACATATTTAGCTTGAAGAACGACCTTAAGAAGTTGGACCAGCCAGTTAACAAGACTAAATGGGGTAGGTTACTCAATGACGGTTTATGGTATAGTAAATGGTAGTTGTCTACAGTATAATGGCAACAATCTGGTGGTGGCATCCCGTGGGTTCATAAGAGGCGACTATGGGATGTGCCAGAAAGGTCTATGGGGCCAACACGCTTTGGGGTAACATGGTGGATACTTTCTTGACCTAAAAATAAATGAGAGGAGGCCTATGCCCAGCTATGAGAAGTCTATAGGGTGTTACCGTTACAGCTTATCAAAAGTCCACTACTGAATATTACTTTATGTATAGAGGAAAGGAGAAGTTCCAGAAATGTATGGAGCCTGGGCTAACACTACGTACACTATATGTAAATATCGCTATATAATATAGTAACCGTTTCTTATTGTTAGTTTTCTTTAATTTCACTTCGTTTCAATTTACATTCAAATTAACTTGGCAACACAGCATTATATTAAACATGGTGGATCACACAGAGTAATATGATGCTTACGCATGTGGATCAGATCAGCAGTATGCGAAAAATGTCATTCTGACAGTGACGTTTGATTGACATGTATCGTTGCCATAGATAAATATATATGTAGCAAGCTATCATCATTGCGACGCTTTGCAGGCGGTTGATAATCACATCAATCACATTTCTGATTTTTAAGTTATCAGGAAGACAGTGATGTCCATCTCTTGTTTTATTTCTCTCTTTCGACTCTTAAAGGTGTTGTCACCCATGGGACGATATGGAGTAGTTTACAATTCGCAGTCGCCTTATATTTCATCATTATCGGTAACCAGTACTACTTAGTAATTCAATGAGGGATCTAGGATATATTTTATCCGAAAACTTTGGACATATTAAAAAGAAACTAAAAATATAAAAAATAGACTGTTTTTCATTGTCTTAAATCTAAATAAGGCCACATTTCGAATAGTGTGCAGTTTCGTGGTCACTTGGAAGGGAAGGCTAAACTGGCCTCTAAAAAGCTTGGCGTGCTCAGCAGAGCGAGACAGTATTTCATGCTGGCACATCGCTTGCAAATTTACAAAGCGCAAATCCGGCCTCACATGGAATACTGTTCTCATCTCTGGGCCGGGGCACCCCAGTGCCAGCTCCTTTCACTTGACCGCATCCAACGCAGAGCGGTTCGAATCGTTGACGACCGAGTTCTTTCTGATCGGCTCGATACACTGACACTGCGTAGAGATGTTACATCTCTTTGCGTATTTTATACCACGGGGAGTGCTCTGAGGAATTGTTCGTACTAATTCCAGCCGCTCAATTTCGCCATCGCACATCGCGACATAACTTGCGATATCATCCATACCACCTGGATGATTGGCGGTCCACCACGGTGCGATTTAGAAGATGTTTGCTTCCTCGCACAATTTCCTTGTGGAATCGATTACCACCAGCGATTTTTCCGGACCGATACGACTTAGGGACCTTCAAGAAAAGAGTCTACTCCTTTTTAAAAGGGCCGGCAACGCATCTGCAATTCCCCTGGTGTTGCGGTTGTTCATGGGCGGCGGTAATCACTTACCATCAGGTGAGCCGCAAGCTCGTTTGCCCCCTCTCCTATAAAAAAAAACATTAATAGATCCTATCGAGGCGAAGCCGGGGTCGATTATAGTCAATACTGACTGAAACATTTACAATAGTCGACGAAACAAAACATCAAACACAAAACGTAACACGACGAGCAACCACGATAGCCACTAGAATTACACAATCGCAGGTCATCAAACATCTTAATTTTGTCTTGTACCGTAACTATAGGTGCCGCAATGCACTCGAAATGTCATGAACTTTAAAACTAAACATGTTAAAATCCACAATCAGTAGTATTATTCAATATTTGTTAGAAGTTAAAAAATATAAGATCTAATATTTTCCCAAACCAGGTATGACACCGTCGACAGTGAATGCCTACTACACCCCCACGAAAAATCAAATAGTGTTCCCCGCCGGTATTCTGCAGCTGCCCTTCTACGATGGTGACAACCCCAAGAGTGTCAACTACGGAGCCATGGGAGTTGTTATGGGACACGAACTGACACATGCGTTTGACGACCAGGGACGAGAGTACGATAGGTAAGAAGACCAGTTAATTTGCCAAATAATCAAGGAAAACACAAGCGGCGCTCGTAATATACAGTCACTGTACTTTATAGAGAGATAAAGAGATAAAGAGAGAGAGAGAGAGAGAGAGAGAGAGAGATTCATTTATGGGCAGTGTATACGCAATAAAGTCCACGAAATTATGTCAGGCCTGTCTTACATTAAGATTATTTTTTTTAAACTAAAACTGTTATTTTAAAAAGTTTTGTAGTTGGGTTTTGCATAAGTCTGTGCAAAAAGTGAACGTTAATTTTATAATTATTAATTTTAAAGATATTTATTATTTTCCAGTAAAGTAATCACTTTTCTAAACCCACAACCTTCCTTTATTGTTTAGAAAGAGAAAGAATATTTAATTATAAAATCATTGCTTTTGACTGAAAGAATACGTTCAGGTTTTTTCAATGTCTTTAGACGTATAAACCATAAATGATATACGAGTTTTAATTCAAATTTAAACTTATTTACTTAGAAATTAACAAAATGAAAATTACAAAATTGTCATGGTAGAAAATTTACATAATTTTTAACTTTAGCTACAATTTTACATATTTCTGTGCAATAAATGTTTTAAATTGACAGGCAAAAATTCTAAAGCCGGTGCTTTTATTTATTCTCTATACTTACCTCCAGAAGCTCGTAAATTATTTAACTATTTTAGGTTTTTGAATCGGGGTTTATATTTTAACATCTGATTATTTTTCTACTTAATAGGTTCGGCAACCTTAACCAATGGTGGAACAACGCAACAATAGGCCGCTTCAAGAAACGCGCTGAGTGCATGCAAAAACAATATTCCGCTTACAAAATGGACGGACTTAACTTGAATGGCAAGCAGACGTTAGGTGAGTACGTACTTGTATATCGCAGGGTAGTCGATACCAATGAAAACCAGTGCTGTAGTTTCGGATGGATCAACTCAATAATACGAAGAAGTTACGATAAATGTAATTCACATGGTTAAAAGTAAATATACAATGTATTCTAGTACTTGTTTCTTCGAGTCGCTTGTTTTTGTTTCTAACCGACTTCCAAAAAGGAGGTTTTAAATTCGATGCGTGTGTTTTTAGTAGCCGTGTAGTGACCGCGTTACAAAATACACTACCTCATATCATCCCGTAGGAGTTGCAAGAGGCGACACAGGAAAATGAGAAAGGAGATGGGCTGCAGCAACTTCCTAATATAAACTCAAAATAGGTACTAAATAGCTGCGGTTGCCAACTCTCATGCAAAGCGTGACAACTTTGGGCTAGTATAACTACTCTCTATGAGGGAATCTATGAGGGAGGCCTATGTTCTGTAGTAGACTTTTATGAATAACTTTTTTATGTATGTTCACCGATTTTTCTAAAACGGTTTTCATTGCAGTTTTATACGACATTCTAGTTATCTCGAGCTCGTGTTATTGCTTAGTCTACTGAATAAGGGCAAAAATAAACTTTTAATAAAAAGTAAACACATTATAAAACAACAAAAACACTATAAAACCACAATTGCTTCCGAAGTAAGAATAAAATTCTTCGATCTATGTTTTAACATCAACTTCAGAGGCTATGAAACTATGTAGAAATTAGTTTATTATTTTTAGTTGTTATTAAAGTTAAGACAAGTTGGCAAACACTCTTTTTTTTACATGGTGAAATGCCTACGCATACCCGACTAGCGTGGGCAAGGACGGGTTATGTCGGACTCGCACCGACTAAAACCCCATGGTGTTCCACCTTCGCCGCATATTGGCAGGGCCACGGGAACGCTTTCGCACACATCCGCGGCCCCACCAGCGCCGGCCGGCCCATGGCAGCCCCTTCTCGGGGGAGGACCTCTCCTCCCCATTCTCCTTCTCAGGCAAGGCGCACCAGGAACACAAGGCACGCCCCCCTCCACGGCCTTCAACTCCACCTACGTTTCGGACCCCCCCGAGTCCGATACGCGCAGGGCATTGGGGCCAGAAAATTCGAGCGCTTTGTAGCACCCGCTTTCCCGACTCCAGCGGCGGATCTGGTCTCTGGCTCCGCCGCCAACCAAGTTTCGGCCGCGGAGGGTAAGGAGAGCGGCGCCTCGCAATACCGACACTCCTCTCCCCCCGCGGCTCCACCACCACCGCATCAACGGTGCGGCCCCGTCAGAGTCGCGGAGGATAGGGCGAGTGGCGCATCGCCATACCAACACTCCTCTTCCTCCGCGATTCCACCTCAGCTGCAACGGTTTTTCTTGAGTCTTTATTGAGGATAGATGTAGATGTCTATGGGTCACAGTAACCACTTACCATCAGGTGGACTGTGTGCTCGTTTGTCACCCGATCCTATAAAAAAAAAAAAAAAAAAAACGGTAGGACACCCCTCTCACCACAGCCCACCGACACACATCCCGAAGTGGGCTCGCCAAGCCCACTCGGAGTGGCCACCTCGGGCCGGCCCTACACCACGGGCCAGCCAAGGGGTTCGTCTTTGTTCACCGCGGGGGACCAAGCTACGGCTACTAAGCCCCCCCCCCCCCCCCGCCACGACAAGGCGGGAACCCGTTCGGGGGGTGGCATACACTCCTAGAGTCCTGTACAATATTAAACCCCTAATATAATACTGTTTATATTTATACTTATGTTTTATTTAAATAATAACAAAAACGTTTTCAGGTGAAAACATCGCAGACAACGGAGGGTTAAAGGCGTCGTTCCACGCTTATTTGGATTACAGCAAAAACGCCAAAGTGAATTACACACTGCCAGGCCTGAAGTACAACCATAGACAGCTCTTCTTTATATCTTTCGCTCAGGTGAGTAGATTTTTGCACAGAGGGCGTTAGTGAGTGTGTGCGTTTGTACGTACGTATTATGCGTGTTGTTTTTCTAAGACTGAAGTGATAAACGAACTTATAGACTTTTGATGGTAAGTGTCTACTACAGCTTATGTACATCTGCAAGCAACTTCAAACAAAGAAGGCTACAGATGCTTTATCATCTCTGTAGACTAAAATGGAATGCCAGCCTGTAATTATACTGGCTCTCTATACCTTTCAGACTTAAACACAGAAGTGCACGCACTTGCTGCTTAATGGCAGATATGATTATGAGGCATAAAACAAATATTAACAACATACACCAACAAGTATTTGTACATTGCTGTCTTATACGTGGTAGAGCCATGTTGCAGCTATATTATGGTTGTTGCACGAATGGTTCGGCTCGACCGGGGAAGGACCACGCTCTCACAGAATACCAGCATCAAATAGGAGCTTATTGCTGCTTTGTTTCGTATGGTGAGTGTAGAGAACCGGAGACCCTTTTTACTGGAAACGAGGCATTCCATCTAAGTCCTCACGGGTGACAACATTTTCATTCGTAATCGAAGAATCGAAGATGTAGATGTCTACGGGCCACAGCAACCACTTACCATCAGGTGGACTGTGTGCTCGTTTGTCACCCTTCTCTTATAAAAAAAAATATAGACCAACAAGGGCCACCGGCGGACTGGAGGGGAGTAGCCATAGCGTTTTTCCCGATACAAAACTGTGTCATTTTTGCGGGGGGTGATTCTACGCACATAAGAACAATCGTCTGTTACTACGAAACTCACACATAATAATATCGCTTAGTGACAGCGACAACTCGGATACAGACTCGGATCAGTTGTTCGACCAATTTGCATATTAAATGAGAACGAGCGGCCTGTGTTGTTAAAAAAGCCGTAACAACATGACCACTATTATTGTCAAAGTGTATGGCTACTCCTCTCCGGTCTGCCGATGGCCCGTGTTACTCAATAGTTGTTAATATCGATTTAAAAATGTTCTAATTGTTTTATATTATTTTCAGGTATGGTGCTCGGCTATGACCAAAGAATCTACCAAAATGCAAATAGAGAAAGACGATCATACCGTAGCCAAATACCGAGTGATAGGCCCAATATCCAACTTAAAAGAATTCTCTAACGAGTTCAATTGTCCCATCGACTCGAAAATGAATCCCAAGCATAAATGCGAGGTATGGTAAAGGAATAAGGGATATTTTTGTGTAAATATCGCTTGAAGCTTCGGCTACGCTGCGTTGTATTAGCAGCTTACATTTGTATTGTATAAATGTAGACAATATGAACACTAATGTAATGAATAAATGACAATGAGCAAAGATGAGTAACGGTAGCTTTCATATTACATAAAAATATAAGGAGTAAAATATGCAAATTACACTACTCATTCTTACAGAACTGATTTCGTACTTGTAATATATCAAGATTGGGAGGAATTATCTTTATATTGTCAACAGATAGTCTGTTAGTGATCGTATAACTTCTGAACGACTTGGCCGATTGAGGTCATATTCACACATTATTTTTGTTTTGCCGAGACTATGGTTCTAGCTTCTACCTCATCCTATTCTAGGATGCGATAGGTTGCGCTGCGCACGATAATGTGAGTTTAGTGCTCAAAAATAAAATCACAAAATTTGAACTCGACAGGTGGCGCTGTAGTCGAGTTATTAATAAATTTTATATTTACGCTATAAAAAACTGAGTGAATATCGCACATCGCACCCTCTCATTGGAAAAGGCAAAACAACGTTTGCCAGGCAAGCTATCTTCTAAAAGAATGTGTAACATGTTATTGAGAAAATGACGAATTCAATTTCTGTAGGAATTTTAATTTTTTGGATGTAGAAAATATGAGAAGACTGTGCTTAGCAAAAAAAAAATCACTTACAGAATGAAAACGTAAAATGTGCGAAGCCGAATCAGATTATAGCAGTACTTCTATATTTATATGTAGTTAAGTAGTTACGCATTACGTTACTTTACTTAAACATAACTATTATAAGTTTACAAAAATATCAATTTCAAATCTCATTTTTTACCTCACCAAAGTAATGTAAAAAGAAGGTTATGTTTTACAGGCTTCTATAACGATCATTCGTCTAAAAGATTTGTATTTATTTAATTGTAATTAATTGACCGACTTTGACCAAAGATACGTCATTGTATTTTGCATGCCAAGGTGATGTAATTTTAAGTTTATATGGGGTAAACAAAACCATTGAGATACAAAACAGAAAAGTTTTAGAGTTTTAGGCGTAATCGGATTTATGTTGTTTTTTAATACGGATCAAATGAAAACATTTCAGTTATTCGTTATATTAGTGTTTCATAGGATCAAAAAAAGATCAAAGAAATTTTATATTTAATACGTTTATTGAATTTATTGTCTAAGCTTAGCGAGTCATTAAAACGGGTATAATAACATTTAGTAGAATCGCGGAATATATGTTTAAAAAAAGTAAATATTACAAATGGCGCCAACGCCAACACAGTTGCTAAATTCATATATTATACAAATCACAAACTTCATAGTTAGTATCTATGGTTAGTATGCAATATGCATTGGGTTTTTATGTGCTTATATTTAGGTATGTTTTATATTACCAACGTTTTGTAGTGTCGACTGTCGATGTTGTACATCATGAAATATTGCTATTTATAATTTTAAGTATAGTGATACATAATATTATTATACTGTACAAGTATTCAAATTTTGTCGTTTAGTGTTATCTAAATCAAATTAATGCCAATCTCGATTGAATTATCAGATAAAATTTATAATATGCCCCTAGCGTTATTAGTAAAGTCCGCGCAATCTACCTTAACCGAGCTGAAGTTGGTCGCGAGTAGCTACGCATATAGTTTTTACGAACAAAATGGTGACATGAGAGAGGGTGAGCGGTATGTATGCATGTAATTACTAATTACTGTAAGTTGAGCGGTAACTAAAATTAGAGATGCGAATACGCATATTGTGCGGTTACAATTATGTAAATAATCGATTATCGTTATTATCGATTATGATTGAATTTTATTATATATTTCATAGTTCATTGGTGTGTAAATGTAACATGTTGTTTTAAATACAGTGATTATGAAAATGTGCATTAAAGATTTCATTGAAAATTTTAAATATATATTATTTTGAGGTATGGAGTGTAGAGAGAAGGAGGACCATCTCTATATAGGAAAAGTGTCCCTAAAAACGCGTCCAATAAGGATGGCGCTGCAGTAGCATAAGATAAATTAAAAAAAAAAGCGCCAAAAGTAATTAGAATAAGATGGAAAGAATATATAAATAAAAGAAATAAACAAGGACCAACCAAGACCGACCAATCCGCTTGGTTTTGCACTACGTAAATAGTTGAGATTTTGTATACTGGCATTTTACTAACTACTCTAATCATGAAATTTTTTAAATATTTGGATTTAGCTGACTTCACTCCGTTCACAACAGCTATCTTCATATCGTTCATATCGTACTTTTTCAGACGCCAGCGCTATTGTGGTAGGTTTTGGAACCTCTATTTTCAGTAAATAGTAGGACACTTTTTCAACTTTCGCCCCTTATAAGATGGTTCTCCTTGTACTCTACACTCCATATTTTGAGGTTACTGAAACAATTTGTTGTCCCCGCTAATATCATGCAGTTACTATATATTCAAACTTTTTATCGTAATTCGACACAGACAAAAAAAATTGTTTCCCTAAGTAATTTTAGGAGCGAATATAAACTGGCACATCTCTATCGACTAGCGTTTATGTTCGCACCAATATCTCGGAAAGCCAACTTCAGCCCGGCCAAGATAGAACGCGCGGACCGTAAAATATATGTTCAAAGGTGAATTATTATTTTCTTATGTTCATCTGTAATAATATTTATTATTTATAATACATTACCATAGATTCTTATTAAGAAGTAGGTATAATAGTGAATTTACCATCAGTGGATTCGAACTGTTATTGAAGTATTTTTTACTTTAAATATCATAATACATTTATTATCAATAACCAAAAACTTCCACCTATACTACTAGACCGGCATTTCAGAACAAAAACTATGTCAAAGCTGTGGATCACGTGGACGCCGACTGGCCAGATAGTCGGCACGGTAATTATACCACGTAGTTGACTTTTCTTTTGCGACATTTACCTACGGATTTCAGGTAAATAGTAGTTGGTGAAGTAAATATACAAATAATAACCGCGTTCTCTTAGCCACATTAAACAAAATCAGTGTTAGATTGTCGAAAACAACGTTCGTGGTTTACAAAACAAAGAACTAGTCTTTTCGCTCGCTCGTTTTCGACTAAAGGAATTACGGAAAATTGACCTTAACTTAGTGGCGCAATGTATTAAGGCCACAGAGGCTGTCTAGTAGTATACGCAGAAGTCTTTATAGATAACATATAGATAAATTTTGTTCTATATATATATCTTATTACGAAGCGCCAATTGTAAGTACGTATTTTATTTTTACACTTTTTTTGAAGATATAATACCAAAAACGATAAATATGGCTGTAATATTGTGTTTATAAAATAAAAGTGCAATGTTAGACTAATAGAAAAGAAAGTACTTAATTTTAAATGTTACCATATCAAACGACATCTTTTTATAGTAATGTGTTAAAATATATACAAATTAAAAATCTTCTTCACGTATTATTTGTATTGTTACAAATGTCCCGTGAGAATCAGGTAGGTATATTATTTGACACTTAATAGTTATTTTGAATAAAATTTGAAAATAACGTTTTAAATTTTAGAAAAATTTACTACATCTCCAAAAAAATATACGTTATTTTATACTGAATGTTTATTACATAGCTACGTATCATTTTAATTGTTAGGTAGATGTCTGTGTAATTATGCTATTTTTAATGTTTTTTTTTTATATACAAATGACATTTTCAATGCAATATACTTATTTCAATAAGTTACATACATCATGTCAAATGCACCACGAACATTACTATTTCATTGAAATTAAACGCGCGTCATAATATTATAATATATTGCATAATAAATTAATTAATTGTAATTTTGAGACATGGTGTGAATGATTTTTGTGTAACTTTAAAAAAAATCAGAAACCGGTACATCTTTATATGACTTTATAAAACATCGTCATACATTAATTGCAACACTGATAATGATCCGGACCTAAAATAATTATTTTAGCCTTTACAAATATTTGTTCCGTGTGGGGATCAAACCCGCGGGCCGCAGATTGCTCTACGAATGCTGATGAGCTGTACAAAGCCGGTGTTATATGAAGACAATTTAACAGTTTACATATAGCATCAAATAATTTTAAACAATATATTATTACGTAGGTATATAGAAATTATATTTATACAATATTTTCAAGTATAAAGCAGACAATAACTTTTGTCTCATCTGTATTCATTAATCGAATCTCTTCCAACTTTATAAGCTTAAATCATGTCTAAGTAATTTACTATAGTGTAAGAGGGTCATTAAAATCACGATAAATATATAGAAGAAAAAATTACGTTAACATGTTTTAGTATGTTGACGAATGTTATATAAATCCTACGAATTGTATAAATATATGCTTCATAGAAACTACCTTGGATATTTATAAAATTCTTAACACTTCTACCGCCTTCACAAATTAGACGGTATGTTTTTATGTGTGGTTGAACCGATTTCGATCACTTTTTTTATTTGAAAGCTGGTGCTTCTCATGTGGTTCCATATGATTTTGATCAAGGTTTGACTAATAGTTTTTGAGTTATTCTTAATAATTTATATTGAAGTCGGTTGTACAAAATTTTTAATTATTATGTAAGATTACAGACAACCGCCTTGGGGAATTAATACGTCACCCTATTATTTTACAAGCAGATCATTTGCCTCGGTCATTTTATGATGTCTCCTTTTTCGTGAAAATATTAAGCGAGGTATATTAATCAGATCTGAAAATTAGATTGTGGTGTGATTTCTTGTAACATGATTTAATAAATATCTATATATGATTCATGAGCATAATCGAAAAGTTTCTATGGCTTTCCAAAATTAAAATTTCAAATATTAGTATTCAATTATAGTAAACCCTGGACGAAGGTAATAATATTTAATACCATAACATAATCTATAGCTTATATAAATAATTTTTCAGTATTACCATATTAAAATAAAAGTAACTAAAATAA